CCCATCAAATTTGCTCTGCTCTTCACATTTGGAAATGTGCTCGCTATTGGAAGGTATGTTTTGTCTGTGTTGAGATTCATATATTTCAATGGCCATTTACCAAAATATTTCATATCATTTTGTTCTGATTCCTATGTCATTTTGCAATTTCTATGTCTTCATTGTTTTTCGTTTTAAACCACTAGAGATCACATGTTTTCTTTGGCAGCACAGCCTTCCTCATGGGACCTGAGCAACAGATAAATATGATGTTTGACCCTGTTCGTCTCTACGCTACATCCATTTACATCGGATGTGTCGTTGTTGCACTCATTTGCGCTCTCTTGGTAAATTCTTGCTCTCTCATACAACAACCAATGACCACAATGTTTAGAGTTGCTGCAAGGATGTAATGTCTAAAATCTGCAATCAGCTTGAAATTGCTGTCTTTTAAAAAAAATCTTTCGCATCTTTTGTAGATTCACAGCAAAATTTTGACTGTCCTTGCCATCCTATGTGAGATTTGTGCACTTATTTGGTAAGTTCAGTGCTCTACTTGAACTCAATCCAAAACAGGATTTGTTTGTATAAGGTTCCAAACATTCTTATGTCTTTTTTTGATTGAACATCATAATGACAGGTATAGCCTCAGTTACATTCCATTCGCAAGGAGAATGGTCTCTGAAATAATGATCCGACTCTGTGACACTGAGCTATAGTCATCTGACAGGCATACACAAGCCGCGAAATTACCGGTTTCAAGAATTTGAGATCTGATTCTCATTAAACCGTTGATGTTTTTGTGTGTGTGTGTGTTTATTTTTTGTTTGATCTGATCCGGTGATTTTCTTTTGAATCAGAAGTAATGAAGATTGAGTTTCTTTTGTTGGTGGGTCTTGAAGCTCTTTTGCTGTTTCAGACTTAACCATCGTTTGGCATTTTGTTTGATCAAACAAAATATTATTTTTATTCAATTAACTTCTTCGAGTTGTCAATTCACTCGTATTTATAGGTTTCATTGAATATCTCTAACTTTAATTTCAACCTAATTTTTATCCGGAATGACAAATCCCTATCATTATTGTCAAAAAAAGGTAAAATGGAAATTGTAAAAGAGAGATACCACTCTTTTAAACATAAACACTTATTATATACGTCAAAAAGAAAAAAAAACACTTATTATATTCTCTAAACAATAACTATGTTATAGGTTTGTAACTTTGTATCATAAACAAAAGGCAACTATACCATATAAAAATGTAATGATTATGAATGCAATCAATCATGAATTATTTTTTGTTAGTCGCCTAATTTTTATATTGCCTGAATATATTCCCAATGCAAATTGTTACCTAGTGAATATTGTGAAGACAATAATGCAGAGAAAGACATTTTCTTTTGACAACGAGAAAGAAAGACTGAAAGAGCATCATTCATACAAACTTCTCCACATTATTACTTCTTTCTTTACATTAAAAACGAAAAAAAAAACATAGTTAAACTTCACTTTCCGACAAGACCGAAGTGATGATCAAATCTTCAAACTCGGAAATGTCAGATGCAACCACCCAACTGAAACAAAATTTCAAAGTAGACAAATTTCAGAGTTAAGATACTAAAACATTGTTCTTGATTCCTTTCCATTTTTCGAAGTGAAAGTGTTAATCTTTAAACATTGTTCAGAGTCTATAAATCTCACCATTATAGATTCGATTTCCTTGTCGGAGACAGGTGTGCGTTTGGGCTGAAGTGATGCTTTTCCTCCATCAGCTGCGTTCTTCGGAGCCGCCGGTACATCCGAACTCGCCGTCACATTTTTCTTGCCGCCGGAAAGAGTTCCCGGCGCCGGTCCAGAACCTGAAATTTTTCACAGGCAAAAAAAAACCGAAATTTAGGCAAGTTGCTAGTGAAGATATACTATAAAGATCTGAAGAACGAAAGAACAATGATAACCTGAAGAAATAGAATGTCTCTGAGGAAATTTGATACGAGGAATTCTCTTCATCTTCTTCTGCTTGCTTACTTGAGAATTAGTGATCGCTCTGTTTTCTTTCTCTGTCTCTGATTTTTCTGTCCATAGAGAAGAAAGAAAGCTCTTATCTTTATCCTCAACTTAATGGGCTAATGGGCCTGAAGATCTGTTCGTGCGATGGGCTTAGAAGTCGAAAATGAAAAGTATAATCAAAGAATTGAATCCCTATTAATAAACACTACGTCAAAAATCATAGGTGTCATAAAAAAAATTTAAAGAACTTTTAATGATATCTATTTTTTTTAATGATATGAACTATTATTCAAATAATTAGAAAAATTCAATTATATCTTAACCCACTAAACGAAATGTGACAAA